AGCAGAAGGGTCACTGGGTTCACTAAATGGAAGTCCAATCAATGAAACGGAAAACTCATAGATGGATATTCCAAGATTTTTAAAAAATCAACGAGAGCGCAAGGAATGAATCTGATATTATAAAGAAAAAGAGAGTTTATTTTGGAAGCAGCGTGTGTTCTGCTGTCTTCAGTTCCATTCGTGAAGGAGAGTTTTCATTGCAGTGTAAATATTAATGCAGTAATTATTTTTTGCCCACAGCCTTGTACTTGGAATATGCATAAGAAATTACGCTATGAAGAATAACAACTGGCTGTTGAAAAATTGAATAGATATGTTATAGATATGACTTTTACCTGTGTACAGAGTGCGATATGTAAATTGTTGCCATTTTGTTTTTTTAATCTCGCGCATGCGCCTTGTTTGGTTTCGATTCTGTCGACTGCACAATATAGTAGGTTCAGTTGGGCACCATCTCTGAAAATCATTCAACACCGAGTTGGAGCCCCAACACGCAAGCTGCCGATGGCAACGCCAGCAGTCCACTGGTGTCAGCCACCGGTGGGGCGCAGTGGGGCTCTAGCGGCCCGCTAGTAGCAACATTGCCTAGACGAATACGCCGGCGGTCCAACAGCGGGCCACCAGCGGTAAACGCTAGTTGCAGGACAGCCATTGGCAGACTGGTGGCTTGCATGTAGAGGTATTTGAAAGGGTCCGCCAGTCAGTGATCCGACGGATGCATGCGTATGTAGAAACAAGCGGAGGAAATGTTGAACATTTTATATGAGTTCCTGTGTACAACAATGGCCTTTTGGACATAAGTTTATGTGGACGTTTGTCGTTGTTTTGGTGTGAATAACCGCCCCCAACCTTGTAAAAGTATTCTTCGTACATCTTATATATATATATATATATATATATATATGTGTGTGTGTGTGTGTGTGTGTGTGGGGGTTGTAAACAGTGGCTATTACGGCTAAAATCCTAGCTAGTTGCAACCGGACGTCTAGTCACACTGATGAGCTGTGATACAGTGAAACAGTCTTTCTGTGACAATATATATATATATATATATATATATATATATATATATATATATATATATATATATATATATGTTAACCTTTCAAATGTACAGTGTCCGATCAAAGTTATAATTTTCAAAGATTAATGTTTTTACACAATCGTCGGGTGGTCGACAGCCGTAGTGCGAAAATGGGAACCGTTATTCCCCCAGGCAAGACTAATATGGAGAAAATATGGACGGTGCGTGTACGTCATGCATAAAGCCACCAAACTCACCTGGAGGGTGAGAGAAGCACCCATCCGTCCAAGATGAAAATAAAGTCATAAACGCGCAATTATACCAGCCTAAAAACAGAAATAACTTACCGATGCGCCAAAAAGTGCTCAATGTCGCACAAAACAATGCAGCCGCAGTCCAGGGGCTTTAAGCTTCCAGGGAAAAAAATGTTCAATAGAACCGGAACCAAAAAGACACCCAAGCAAATACAGCACCAAACCAAACGACAAGGAATTAGCAGGCTCTATAACTACTTGGCTAAATTCAGTAGTACCAGACAGGTGACAATTTAAAATGTGGGATGTATTTGTGCCGCACTCTATACACACACACACACACACACACACATATATATATATATGTATGTATGTGTGTGTGTGTGTGTACATATATAAATTATGAAATGTATTAAATCCGAAATATTTTAATTTGTTTTTTGCTTAAACGTTATTTTAGATGGAAACTCATATTCGAGTAAGCTATACGTTTTTGAACCCATAATGTTGCCAGCTATACGTTTTTGAAACAAAAATGTTGCCAGCTCTACGTTTTTTATTCCATACAAAATAGCCATTTAAAATTCATATAAACTGGATTTCGCATTAAATAACCCACAGTGGTTGATATGCACCACCACCACAAAAAAAAAAAAAAACATATTCGAGTAAATGTTCTGTTTATTTAATTAAACAGTATTTATATTTAATTACATTCACCGGCCGGAATATTGGATAAATCTTGTCGGAAAATATGCAAGATTCAAACCTGAATCCTCTGTTAGGAACTGTCATTAGATCTGACTTGCTTAAGCTATTCGGCTACGTAGGGGTTTCGGTTAAAAAAAACGGAAATGTGAGTTCAAAAGGAATATAAATGATTGATGAAATATTGTACAGAATCAACCGCACTTTTAAGAAGTGCAGAATACAGAGCTGGTTCCTTTGCTCCAACATACATCCATAAATGCATATATATATATATATATATATATATATATATATATATATATATATATATATATATATATATGATTAATTCATCGTATCTGATAGAAACCTCAACAAAATGCAGAAAGCACTGGACATATATTTTGTATATATATTTATATATATCATTTATATATATATATATATATATATATATATATATATCAGTAGCCCGATTTTGCGCTGATCAATTCATATCAGTCCAAGGCATTCGATAGTGTTGACCTTCGAATTCTGGAGGCTCTTCTTTAAGTGCCCGGTTTCGGGCCGTACTTTCACGCCTGGACCCGACTTTTCTCTGCGTCTCCCGGTGCGCTGGTAGAAGTGAATGGGGTATGATCTGAGTATTTCCTATTTTCGCACTCCATGCTTCAAGGTTGTCCGTTTTTTCGCCTTTGCTTTACGTTCTTAGAGCCTTTCCTTCGCAAGTTAAAGACGAATCCGGTCCTACGCAGAATTTCCCTACCTGGTGCTACCATCTCGGCCAGGTATTCTGCTTATGCTGATGACGTTTCGGTTCTTGTGTCGGGCAGAGCCGAGTTTGACGAAGTCAGGAAAGAATTCAGAGAGTACGAGACGGTGACAAGGCGTCAAGATCAACCCCGGTTAATTCTGTTGGCTTGCGGTTGGGTGCGTGGAATGGAGTTTTTCTTCCCGGACATTTTCTCTGGACGGACGGGTCAGTCAAGATATTCGGCGTCTGGTTCAGTCCCGATATCAATTTGGAAATGAATTGGTCGGAGGTACAGAAGAAGGCTGAAGTCGCACTTTGTCTGCGGTCTCGTCGGAATCTTTACTTAAATGAGAGGGTGGAAGTATGTGCCTCGCACATCTACCCAATTTTCCTTTACCGACTCTCTGTGCTTCCACTCCCGTCTACCACGCTAATTACTTTAGTAAGGTTCTTGTTCTTCTTGTGATGAGGCAAGGCCGCTAAGGTATTTCGGAAGATCTGTTACCCACACCCTTCTGTGGGCGGTCTTGGCATGCCTAGCATTGAGGTTCGTCAACATACGCTTCGCATCGCCTTCCTAGATCGAATATATCGCGATTTCGATGAGGAGGGCACCTTCTGGAATGGAGACGCTAGTAAAAATTTCCCAACCCTTTGAAGTGGGCACTCGTGTGCGTGGGAGGTCTGCCGTTTACCCCGGAGCTAGTGCTCCTATCGTGAATGTCGTATTGCTCTGAAACACCCCTTGCGGGTGTCAGATGGTCTCTCCAACGTCCAGGCGTTGTCTCGAAGAGAATTATATCATCTGTTAGTGGGGGGGGGTCCGTTTTCTTTAATTTAATTCCCCTTCCATTCCCCGTTTAGCTGACCAGAGTCTTCAGTTCTCTGGTAGATGCGTGACGCCTTTCGTTTCGGGTGTGATTTTCGTATTCATGTGTGTGTTTCAGTGAGTGCTTGGAATGAGTGATTGTTTTATATTATTAGAGTCCCGTATTGATTTCGTCTATTTAATCGATGTTTCTGCCACATTTAAGGATTGGGGTTGTTTTATTAATAATATTTTGTTTGGTTCTTTTAAATAATTGCTTTTTCCTTTATTTGTAAATATTCAGTGCGGTTTAGTTTATCAAAATTGTTATTTTATCCCCCTTCCTCCACAGACAATAAATTTTACATACGGGGACCACTTAGGATTTTCATTAAGACAATGAGGTATTATGGTGGCTGTAATAAGTAAGGTAATTAAGAATGCGTTGTTTTGTTGCAAGTAATACTGTGGTATGTTTGGGTCAGAATTTGTGGCTCTCTAAGTTTAACGGTAAGAGAGAAGACCGTCCTTTTCTCCATTCCTCATTTTGGTCTTATGCCTCGTTTCTATATATAAGCGGGATAAATATCTGCCTTCGCTATGGTATCTAATTCTTATGATATAAATGCAGTACGAGATTGGATGCAAAGTCTCGTCAATTTACTGCTGAATTGGATTGATGTTGCCATAGGTTAGATCAATTATTTTCTCACACTTCTGACTTGTAGAACACTCTTCCAGCTCCATGTTTTCCAGCCAACTTTACTCTTCAAAAATTTAAATGCAATGTTAATCGTTATCTACTGTCTTCTTGGTTACTCTCCGTTTATTTTTCTTGCAACTTAATAATGCCTCTCATTTTTTTTTCTTATTCTCATAACGACCTGTGTCTTAGTGGCTGTACTGCCTTTCTTGGAGTGATATAATTTAAAGTAAATGCAACGTCCATCGCAATCTTCTGTCTTCAAGAAATCTGTTCTTTTATTGTGCTCGGTAATATCATATTTCACTCCTTGTAACCCCTTGTGTCATTTTCGTCTTGCTTGTAGTGAAATAATCTAGAAAAAAGTTTTGTCTATATTAACATCCCAATCAAACAAGAGGAGAACAATAGTTCGAAATAATACAACTATGCAGAGTAAAGGATTGTTGTGCTTTTTTTTATTATTATTTTAATTTCCGAGGTAAAAATAAACCACTTACGACTTGCGAAGTGTTTTGAATTCTCGTTGTTCTGAGAATTTCTTTTTAACATCGTATATTTTTAGTTCTTCCTTTCGCAGATGTCAGTCAGTTATATCGTACCTGTTTTTTTTATTTATTGACTGGTCCAAATAAAATCTAAACGTTAAGGTAATGTTTTACCTGAATGATCTTAGCTGACATGGATGAAGAGGAATTTTTCATGAAAGCTTCGGATGTTGATCGGTTTAATTTACTTTCATGTTAAATATTGATCACTCTGGAGAC